TACCAACTTCGTAGGGAATTCGAGTATTCTTCATCTGGGGGTTTTGCTGGGCCACTTTCTTGGGTTTCATCGCACCATGAACTGTCCGTAGCCTTCGCCCCATAAGCATCTCAGCAGGGGATTTGGAGTTTGGCAATAAGTCATGCGGGGTCGTTCGTTACGCAACTAGAAGTCGTTCTATGATATCTTCTGTCGTCCCCTCCCCTCGTGCTTTAAGCATGGCTCGTTTAAATGTATCAACGAACCTTTCAGCTTGTCCATTAGATTGCGGGTGATATGGCGGTGAACAAACATGGTTGATCGAATTTTGCAGGCAAAATTCTCGGAATTGGCTAGATGTGAATTGTGAACCATTGTCTGTTACTATTGTTTCTGGAAGACCATGCTGAGCGAAGATCCGATTAAGGAGTTTGATGGTTCGAGTTGTAGAGGGTGGCGCAATCGGCAATATCTCCGGCCATTTGGAGTATGAGTCAACCAGTATCAGATATGTGGTACCATCTAGGGGTCCGGTGAAGTCAATATGCACTTGCGATCAGGGTTTCTCTGACTTTGGCCAGGGTACTGGAGGCAACTTAGGAGGATTTTTCGCAGCTTTTTGACAATGTGAACATCTTTTGACGAAGTCGACAATCTGCTTGTCCATATTTGGCCAATATGCATAGCTGCGAGCGATGGATTTCATACGGTTTATCCCTGGGTGTCCAGAGTGAAATTGGCGTAGGACTTTGGAACGTAGGGTTGTTGGAATTACTACGCGATCATCGAACATCAGACAATCGTTACCAATACAGAGAGCGCTGCGACGATTCGCTAATTGTTGCATATCACTACTCAGCTGCTTAACTGGCCATCTGCTCTGAACATAGGTGATCGCTTCTTGGATAATCGGGTCTTCTCTGGTAGCTTCCCGAACATCTTCAGCGGTAACAGGCATTGCTCGAACGGCATTCGCTAATAGTGTAGCATCGGAATCCTCTTCGGTTGATACTATGGCTATGAGTGTGTCCTCATCAGTGGTAGAATGGTTACTGATAAGTCTGGACAGTGCATCCGCTTGACCAAAATCTTCGCAACGTCGATACTGGATGTCGAAGTCGTACCCCAATAACGCCAACGCCCAACGTTGAAGACGATTAGCCGAATGGGCAGGAATGCCTTTCTTTGATCCAAAGATTGATAACAACGGCTTGTGGTCTGTGAGCAAGGTGAAACGGCGCCCATAAATGAATTTGTGGAATCGCCGGACAGCAAAAATTAGGGCTAACGCTTCCTTCTCTATCTGGCCGTAGCGTTTCTCAGCAGGTGTTAGTGTTCTCGAAGCGTGCATCACGGCGTTCTCTGACCCGTCGGGAAAGACATGTGAGATTACGGCACCCAGTCCATGTGTTGAAGCGTCAGCAGCAACCACAATGGGTAGTTTCGGATTGTAGTGGGTTAGCAGAAGATTGGAACTTAGCATGGCTTTAAGTTTTGAAAAAGCTGATTCACATTGCGTTGACCAATTCCAAGTAGCATTCTTTTCTAGCAGACGATTTAATGGATATCGTACGTCATGCAGTGATGGAAGAAATGCTGAATAGTAGCTAATCATCCCCAAAAATGATCGCAGTGAGGAGACATCAGTGGGAGCAGGCATTTGTTGGATTGCGTAAGTATTCTGAGGATCAGGGTGTCGTCCGGAAGCATCAAAGATAAACCCCAGGTACTTAACGAAACGTAAGAAGAATTGGCATTTTTCTGGGCGAAGGCGAAAACCATTATCCTGGAGGCGTTGCAGAACTAAGTGGGTTCTGGTATGCAATTCATCAACAGTTGAGCCGACAATGAGCACATCGTCAAGGTATGTAGCAACACCAGGAACATCTGCCAGAATAGTGTCCATGATCTGCTGGAAGATCGCTGGAGCAGTTTTGATACCGAAGGGTAACCGGGTATACTGAAAAAGTCCTCGGTGAGTGTTGATTGTCAACAACTCTCTGGATTCTAGAGCGACTGGAATTTGAAGGTAAGCATCTGCCAGATCCAGCTTAGCAAAATAGGTACCACCATTTAAAATAGTAAATAAGTCATCTGGGATCGGCAGCGGATAGTGATGCTGTTGTAGAGCCGCGTTGAGTCCTGTAGAAAAGTCTGCACAGATGCGTATGGAACCATTGGATTTTTTTACAACCACAATTGGTGCAGCCCATGATGAATAAGAAACAGGTACTAGGACACCTTCAGTTTCCAAACGTTGAAGTTCAGCGTCAACCAGAGGTAAAGATGCGTATGGGACTGGACGCTTTGGGCGAAAAACTGGCGTAGCTTCTGGCTGCAGTTTTAAAACAGCTTCAGTTGTGGAACAAAGTCCGAGACCAGGCTTAAATAATTCAATAAATCGTTTTCGAAGGTCTTCAGTATGCTGTTGTGTAGAAGCAGTAGTTTGGACTTGATTGCAGACAGCGCTAATAGGAAGATCAGCGAGACCAAGTTCTTCGAACCAATCTAAACCTAAAAGGTTGAGCGGAGAATCGGTGATGTAACATGTCCCATTGAAGGTTGTACCTCTGAATGAAATACAGCAACAGAGTTCACCATGAAGGCGGAGATGACCCCCACAAGCACTGACGGCTGTTTGAGAGGATGGTTTGATGGGAGGTTGACCCAAGGTTCGCCAAGTCTTCTTCGACAAAATGGTGATATCTGATGCAGTGTCCAACTGCAAACGAACAGGCTGACCATTGATTGAGAGGGTCAAAAATTTGCGTCGAGTCGCGGCATGAGTATGGAAGACTGCTGCTAAACTCCTTGATGAGGTAATCGGCTTTTTGTGTAAACGACGCTGCGTCTGTGCATTTCGACGGTTATTGAATCGGTTGGATTTGCAAAAGCCGCTTTTGTGACCAACTTTCTGACAGCGATCGCACACATGCTGTTTGAATGGACAGAACTTCACATAATGCCAGGCTCCACAGTGCCAACATGGCGAGGGGGCTTTCTTCTGAACCGGTTTAGAGTGATTAGAGATAGAAACAGCGCTGGCGTTCGAAGGACTCGAGTTTTTCGGTCTCGAAGATTTTTTCTGGTGCTGAACAGCATGAACTTCGGAACCACCCTGGCCCCCAGATTGAAGCAAAGTGGTGTCACGCTGCAGATTGATGATACGCTGGTATTCGTCTATGATCGCATTAAGTGTCAGTGTTGGATCTTGTTCAAGGCGGTTGAGCAACCGAGTTCTGATGTCGGAGAATTTGGGTGACTGAAGACTGCATATGAGTACTAGGGACTTGAATTGGTCTTCAGTGAGGGATCTGAGCTTGAACCGTTCGCACTCACGGTTAACAACGCCGACGTGAGTCAGGAAGTCATCAGACTCATTCATGACCAGTTTTAAGCAGCGATATCGGGTACTGAAGAGTGAGTGATGATCACCAAAAAGTTGGCTAAGGGACTGAATAGTGGCGTCGAATGAACGGTCGCGTGGGTTCTGTGGTAGAATGAAGTTGCAATACTTATCCAGCTCGGATGGACCAAGTTTACGGAGAAGAAGACGCACCTTCCACGAATCATCTCTGTCAACAAAGTCAACTTTGAAAAGGTCTTCATAACGTCTGAACCAGGTATCAAATGTAATGTTGGCATCAGGATCATAAAGAAATTCTGAAATACCACTGGTAATACCATCAACTGATTCAGGAATTGTCGGTGCAATTGGGACTCGAGAAGATATATGCGTCTGAGTAATCATCTCCATCAGCTTCAGCTGCTGTTCGAACAATTTTTCTAATTTGGCTGGATCCATAGTTAATCACCAACTTGTTGCTAAATCTCCGTCGCCAAATTTATTGTGAATCGCGAGTTGGCTACTCTAAATTCTACCGATTGACTAGCTTCAGATATCCCAGTTCGACCCCAATACTGTTCCCAATCTCCAATATATCAGAACACGAACCGTAGATGAAAAATCGTTTTTGGGGTCAGGAGCAGCAGAATAATGATTTACAAACAAATGCATATTTATACAGTTAGGATTACTATAAATATTGACCAACAGAAAGATGACACGTTAAATAATATTGACCAATAGGAAAATGACACGCGAAATAAATATTGATCAGTAGGGAAACGACCAATAGGGAAATGACACCATTTAACGTTCAAGGGTAGCATTAGACTTAACCGGATAATTGTTTCTGGGATATTCTTCTGAGTATCCCAACACATATGAGTTGTGATTAACCCTTACTGATAATGATAAAACAACATACACGCTGAACAAGCTAATCGCTATCTGAATTCAGTAGTTCAGTGAATAACGTATTAGGGTTTCATGTGAAAGGTGCTGAGTTTGAACTTCAATGTGAACATCAGTACTTCAATACAGATACAGTTAGCTGACGAATCTTGAATAGGACAAAATGCTCATACTGAGTATCACTGTTAACTACAATCCATTGATTCCATACTAAGATTATGATCTTCAAGTAACTCAAGTTAAGCGAGTTCCCAGGAAAAGAAAGCACATTGAGTGAAACTGTGGACGTATGTTTTATGCATTAATAACAACTCATATATATATATATATATATATATATATATATATATATATATATATATATATATATAACTGTATCGGTTTCCATGATACACATTCCTAACATGTGCAATTGCCATCTCCTCCCCAGAATCCATATATATTTTAAGATGGCACATCGACCGAAATAAGCTTACATAAAGGATTATAATCACCAGGAAAATAAAGAAATTTGAGAATCATTCAAATACATATAAATCAATGACTACAAAGTGGATCGGTTTTAAGCGCATTTTATGCATAACAGCTCGTGATATTACCTACTAATGTAGACAGAAGTAAATGAAGCAGTATTCGAAATCCCAAACCAACGGTTGAAAGTCAAGGGTTTTAGTCATTAAACCACTAATTAAACATACTAATATTTATAACAGATAAACAGATTGCCTAGATGGATATTCATAAATCTTTAATATATACTTACAATTTCGAACAGATGAAAATAACTTGTTTAAACCAATCAGCGTAGAATGCCATAGTTCCGGTAATTGTTGGGCATCTAAATATGAACAGTTCGATAGATGCTTAGGGTGACAACCTGTTCCTAGACGTAAAATAAAAGGTTCATTATGATTATTATTGATCTCGCCTATGTGATCATTATCACTGGAAGTTAAGGGAGAAGAATAAGAGGACACATATGATGCTGACGACGAAGAGGAGGAGGATAAGGACGGTGAAGCGAACAAATCCAATAAACGCTTTTCAGAAGATGCTAATAACATGAAAAAATATACGTACACAAAAGGGAAATATGCAGAGAATAAATAGGTACAACAAATACAATTACCAAAGAAATATGAAATGAGAATGAAAAGAAAACAAAGCTCATGCTTTCCAGTCATTGGAGTATATTAGTCTATTTTACCTATAACACGTATTCCTATGTGATGAGTGATGAAAAAACATAGACTGTTCATTTGGGTTAGTCACATATGATGTACAGCAAAAGATTAATGAGTATTAATGACATTTAGCGGTGATCAAATCATCCAACTACCAAACAACAGATCGTGTACACAAACTCCGCTCTACTTCATTTCACTTGGACAACCATGTAGTATCACCATACTTCAACTAATCAATATACAACACAGCTGAGTATATCAACCTGTACTTGTTAAACAACCAACATATTTATTCTTCTGTAACAAAATTTTTCGACACTACCACTGTTTAGACAGGTCCATATATTGTGAAATTTGTGAGTATTTTGTGTTGCGAAGTAAATGGTAATAAAATTTAACATTTCATCTAGATATATTATCGTTAAGCTCGATTTATCAACTTCCCATAAACAAATGGGTAATTACGAAGACAATTGTGGACACACATAATAAAGAGAAACAATAAAAGTATACATTGTGGAAATTACTTGAAAATAGATCCAACATTTAAAAGCAATAAGTAACGAAAAAGCGAGTTGAAGATAAGTATGATTCTATGAATTATTGATATTTACTGCTAAGGAGTAATAGAATGCGACAAAACAATGATCCCGTTGATAGAATGAGCAAAAATTGAGTTAGACAGTCAAACCTTAATTCCACGGAAATGTGAGTGATTTACAAAACTCGTGTATCTTTCAATCGCGTTTTTCCAAGTGACATATGATCCTGTTTTGTAGATAACCATGTTAATGTATCAGTAGAAACTTATTTTGCTGACTACTCGGACCGTTTACTGATTTCAGGTCATTTGTGGTGCAGTCGATGGCCAGATCTCAACCGCGTCGTATTATATACAATAGTGCACATGAATGAATCACAATAAGAACCGAAATATACTGGTAGTCCCAATAAAGATAAATGTAATGGAACTCGGCTTCTTAAGTCAATGCGCGCTATTATATATAAAATTCAAACATTGCCAGATGGCAATGATACACATATTTTACGGAATTTAGTGTTCTCTAAACTTGAATGCTTGAACAGCGAACCTCCGTTTTTATTTTCTAGACATCATTAAGACGGATAGATAATCGAAGCTTCACAACTGAATCTATAACAAAACAAAATCCATAGAAGTTGAACATACCACTTGAGAAGTAAGTATATTGGCAAATTCGAAATTAAACTCAGCACTGAAATCTCATATTCTTATCTGTAGACTACATTTAAGACCAGGATATATACGTGACAGCGAAACTATAATTTGTGGACGAACCAATCAGATTTAAGATAGCGAGTCTTAAATTCTGGTGCGAAATTCATTCACTCATTTGGCTAAGTACCATTTTTGTATTATAGCTTATGTCAGTTCGTGATGAAAACAATAAATCTGACTCCTAACCCTAACATTCAACTGTAAATCCTAACCCTAATTCCTAACACCGATCTATAACCCTCATTTAACCCTAGTAAGTAGATGGACATTCCAAGGTGATTTTACCGTTGCTCAAAGGTTGTCCATAAATTATAGTCTCGCCAAAAATATATTCTTATTTAAATGTATTACCTAGCAGTTAAAAGTAGAACATTATTATCAATTGTCATAAACAGATTTCTCAATCGGTAAAGTAACTTAAACACACTTTATTTGAACACAATAAAAATTCTTTAGAAAAACCAATGTTTCCACACAACAACAAAAAAACAAATAAACATACAAATGCTATTCATATATTGTGATGTTTTATTACAATGAAATGAATGTTTTGCAGAACATTTCACTGTTGAATTGAAACCAATAGCGAAATTATGAAATAGATCAGTATTTGAAAATTCTTTGTTTAAATCTCTTGGTATATGAATTGCAGTTAAAGGTAGTTGTTGATTACGTTGGACATTATTAATATTTGTTGTAGTTCTTATTGAACATTTTGTTAAATTGTTAGATTCAAGAGAAATAATTAAATGTGGTTGAAATTCACGAGTTATCTTTTGAAACTTTTCATTGTGAAATATTGGATTCTAGAATCGAGTAAAACAAAAGGGGAGGGAATACAAATGAAGAACTTCATCATTAAATATAGAGATAGTGGAAAGTAATTAAACCATAAAAATAACTTCATTGGCAAAAATTGACACACAGCAATAAAATATTGTTCAGCACACAGGTATACATGGATCAATGAAAAAAAAGATAAATAAAAGTTCAGTTTCACGCGTTCCGATACAATTTTACATTTAATTGATATAGTTAATCATAGTAAAACTGAGATCATACTGAAAAACCAAGAAACTAAAACAAAACATATTTGTAGTTTACCTCTCTTGATGAACCCAACACATAACAGTGGTACGAGATGTTGTTACGTGGCTAAGCTAATTTAAACATTACTTCAAAATAATGTATTTAAACGTTTACCACTTCGATATGAAATTTCCTAAATGATGCTCAGTTTAAAAAGATGAGTCGCTAGTTATGCATACTGTTATTGTACACGAAAATGATACATGAATTCTATTATTATATTATGATTATCAAGATAATGTATATATGTATAGTCACTGATCAGTGAGTAGTAAGTAATCTCATGATTATTTAGTTCTGAGTATTGATTGAATTTTATTGGCTTACTGCTGAGTAGCACCAACCACATACAAAATTGAACCCATTCTTTACAATAATTAACTTAATTTCGTTAATATTAATCCCATTTTTATTTTGTTACATAATCCAATTCCTCAATGTGTAATACTTTCTTCATTTCTAACCTAAACTAAATCTTTGTTTATGCAACATTCTTAAATGTCTCACTACCATGATATACTTGATTTCAATCAGCTTCATTTGGAATTAAATGCTATCATGGGACATCAAAAATAAAAGTTTCTTCGCGGTCACACCTTTAATTTATCGTTTTTTAACCAGAATCGGTAGTCACTAGTGGTTAGCTTCAAGAAGTAACTCCTCTAGTTTTAGTGAGATGCCATAACCATTAGAGTCCTACCACGTTGGTCGTGAGACAGTTCACTACCACAAGCAATAGAGAATGATCGCGCAATATCGTAAATTGATTGAATTTAGACATTAATGCAGTTGGATGCCAAACCAGTGGTCTGGAGATTAGTCATTTGCACGCAAGACGAAAGGTCCTGGGTTTGATCCCCAGGTGAAGGATTATGGACGCTTACTGTCGAGAAATCCCATACTAAAACGAAACGGCTGTCCAGTGCTTCGGAATTTTCAGCGGTTGTCTAGCTAAAATCAAGATAATGCTTTACAGAACGAATACTTGTGATATTTTAAGGTTCTGGCAGTTTTGATGGTTGTACAACAATATTAGCTAGTCACTGTATAATAAATAATTCCATATTTTGTAATCCTTTGTAATCTAACTAATGGAATACGAAATGAAACACTTGGAACTAAACATTACATTAATTAGTACCATGTAGATAAAACGAAGAATGGGCAATTGTATGGTTAATAAAATTTAGAATCACTTTGAAAAAGTGAAAAATTATTAAAACTTTTGAAAAATGATCAAGTATCTCTTAATGTTTCACCCACTCATTTAATGTAGGCGATCATTAAAGTTAATTGATTATTTAGAAAAACGTTAACTGGAAGGTTTCAATATAAGCTAGTGATTAAAACCTATTTCCAACCGCGTAGTGAGGTGTATTTCCAAAGAGAATTTAAATGTTTCATCCCTATAGCAAATGTTTTGCAGACAGGTGCACGCGCACAATTGTTTGTTCTTTTTAAATACAAATATGGCAACCATAAAAGACCATTCAAGAACATGCCGTAAACCACAAATTCAAATATACAGACACATAAAATAAACACTAACTTGTAGTATAAAACAAAATACACCATAAAAAAATAATATAAAAAAGAAAATCTGAAACATTGTTTTCAATTGGTGCTACAATAACAACCTGTAGTGAAAGGAAAAAAGATGAAAACAATATGACTATTTTTCCAATAACCACATAAATAAAAACGAATTAAGAGTATGTCGAACTAATATAAACAGGATTTCAATGATTAAACAAATCAAGAAATATTGTAGATAGTAGTTGTTCAACGGGAACTAAGCGGGTAGGTTAGAGAAAATGTATTTGACTATTCTCACACATTGACATATGTTCAAAGAAGACTTTATATTTTGTCAGTATCATCTGAAAAATTTAATCAGACTTTCAATTCTTGAGAAGTAGAATGAAGTATTAACTTTCGACGAATTTAATAAAGGTTTGGAAAGTAAATAACGTTGAGAAGTACAAATTGATGTAGTCAATACTCCCCGTGAAATATGACAAGACTAATAATGTTCAGGTAAAGAGTCTTCAAGAGATTGATGTACTTCTTCTGTACGTCCTTCAAGCTGAGGTAAGCCCTTTCTATCAACAGAGTATATTACCGCCTTTAAGTTAAGTGATATACTAATCGGACGTCGGTAAGTAGGGCTAATTCAAAAGCCGGTTAAAGATAAAGATTTTTTAAATACGTGGCTTTCGTGATCCGGAAACTCCCTTGTTTCTTATGGTTATTAGCAGTTATTAACAAAAAAAATTTAGTCTTTTCTTATAAAACAAGACGATTGGCGATCCTGATTAGTCAGATAAAATTACATTTGGCTCTTCAATTTCCACACCACACTCAGTGTAACTAGTAGGTCTAATACACTAACTTTTACAATTTCTAGAGTTGACCTGCTAGAGTTTGTGTTTTTTTGCAACTTCGAATGAGTCATTCACTATACAACTTCACTGATAGCTGAAAATCTAAAGTTAATTACACATACAGACTGTTAGTGGATAGTTGGGGAGATTTCTAGATTTACATCAAGGATTTAAAAAAATAATTTCCACCTATCAATGACGGTAGGCATAAACACACAAAATAATATTACAAAGTAAATAAACAAAGAGATTAAAAGCTTACCGAACGATCATCAACATTATCTGAAGACAATTTACAAGTGTTCTGACTTTGATTCATCAAATTTTGTTTTTGTTTGACACTAAATAGTGACTCATGAATACCGACCGGATCCAAATATGGAAATATTAATAGCTGACTAGTAGCTAAAAGACGCCAAATATCCGGACTCGAAGCGGTTAATCCTACGATAAGGTAAGAAAGTAAAATAAAATAGATTCAATCAAATTCACCTAGACAAGTGATGAATGAAATAGTCAGTAAGAAAATGTACATAAGGATTAAGTTCTGTGTACATGACTAGGTTATTGTACACATTTTCGAGTGGGCTAGTAGTAAGTTATTTTGAGTTCAGAATATCTATTGAAACGACAAAATCCAGCTATCTTAGTTGGAACAATTGTTTCTTGAGGTCTTATCACGTCAAGCGGTTCATTTCCTTAACGATAAGATTAAACTCAGAGGATTTCGAATCCCCCAGTGATATTGCACTGGTTCATACAAGACCTAATAAATATCCTCCATCTAACTGAAACAATATAAAGAATCAGAATAGTTTACCCTTCACTAAGATGGCAACTCAATCACAACTTTTATTTATCACTAGAGACATAAGTATGGCAATAAATACGGTAGATGAGCCAATACTCCTAGATAGTTTACAAATTCGATTGATTTACTTCAACGGAAGGATTATTTATTTATTTATTTATTTATTTATTTATTTATTTATTTATTTATTTATTTATTTATTTATTTATTTATTTATTTATTTTAACACATAGATATTGGTACAAGGAGGCACCAAATACATATGTGCCACACAAATCTCATTCGATATATGTGAGGGCTGTGATACTGCTCGGGTGCCCAAACCGAAGCAGGTGGTTTAATTAGGGGGCCACTCCCCGAGCCTTCGACCTGAAGGTCTGATCCACAAGGCAGTGGAGCATCGTGAGGAGATGCAGTCCCATGGAAGCCGGTGACCAACAATTGGTTCATACGCCATTTGTTCCCGCAGGATACTGGAGCCCATGTGCACCATTGGTTTGGAATCCGGTTAAAGCGCCGAACATTCGCTTTTCATCCTCTCATTTTCGTAAATAACCCCCGCCACGAGAAGGCAGTGAGTAGGACTTCCCTGGAAGAGGCTATATACGCGTGGCCATGTAAAGCATTTCGAGAGGGAGAGCGGACTCTCCCCACTCTCGGCCGTACCAGGGCATTTGGGGGCACTAAAACAAACCCCGACGTTGTACTTCGGATAGATCCACTTTGCGAAATCAATGTTTCACAGTTCACCATAACTGGTTCCCCAATATACTTGGTCTTTAATAAACTTACGAATATTTCACCTACGCGAAAAATATTCGAAGTTGGTAAAAACCAAACGAGCGTTTTTTATCTGGATAGAAATTTTTCGACCCAATGTACTTTTTACTTTCCATATCTTTAAACCGACAATCTTGATATGTTGAGAAAAAAACAACTCTAAAACTCAATGAACTAAGTTCGAAGTTACTTGTTTGTAAGTGTAAAACCCAAATCTAATTTACTTCAATCAAACACCAAGTACGACCAATAAACCAGTAATAATTAACACGCCAATCAAGTTGTAGTAAATGAATGAAAGAATATGTAGCTCAAAAAGTTATTATAACTTACAGATTTATAGGCATTTTTAATGATGTATATTGTCTAACTGTAAAAACGTAACAACAGCAGAACCAGTCGCAATACAATTTTACATAAATAAATCCAACACCGGTAATATTTTCACTTAGAAAAATTTATATTTCAGTCCAAACCACAATTATAAAACTTTCCTTATATCTTAGTTTAGATAAATCATAAGTTGTTAGTTGCATCTGAATTATAGCAGTTTTATAATACTACTTAGTATCTTCGGCAGTTTAATCACTTATAACAAATTAGATTGACATAATAATAATTATTCCCTTTGTATTATATAAACTTATGTTAATTTAATTTCGGTTATTAATTTACTCTGAAGAAGTAGCTTACATCAAGTCACGAAACGTCAGAGATACAATTTTTCTACTCATTAGGATGTAATAAAAATGTATTTATTATTAACTGTTATTACTATTAAAAGACAAAAAAAACTTACCCGAATGTAAATGACGTAGTAAACGAATAGCGATTTCTGTAGAAATTATTTCCTTACTATTTAAACCGGCTAAAATTATAATACGTATTTTATCGTATTGAGGCTGTAATTTCACATTATTGTAATTGTCATTTTGATCATTAATGGGAATAATATGTGAATAATGAGGAAGTGACAAACCAATTCCGTATACTGTTGACAATTTTTCACTATTATGATCATGATTATTAGTATTGTTAGTAGTAAAATTAGAAACGACCGTGTTTGTTGAAGAAACAGTAATTTGATGTAATGTAAAGTATTTCTTAATGGAATGTGATAAATTAGTAAACATATTTTTTATTGTTTCATCATAAGTTGATTCATGTATGAATGAAGGTAGACGATTCAATGTGATATTGTAATCTAATTGACTTGACCATTCCACTGTTAATTGATTATCAGGCCATAAAGTGAAATTTAACTGTTCACTATTTGTAATTGACACATAAGGTAGAAGGGATGCATTCACTTCATATTTGAGTGAATCAAAATATCTGCAAGAAAACAAAAGGATCCATAATAAGAATATGCATATTACAATCTTATTCTTAAGTACACTATGAAAGTGTCATTTCTTTTTGGCTTTTAAATACACTAGTGGTGGTCACAGATACAACCTGGTTGATCTAATTAGTTTGGGACAAGTGAGCTCTTGAAATTAAAATCAACTTGGGAAATGCAAGTCCACAGACTACTGATTTGCAGCTACACGACATCAATCTAGAACTTATAAACTGCAACTATACCAGATCATAACTACACAAACTCTGCATCCGCATCTTGAAAAAAATGAGAAAAAAAATCCAATTACAGCATTTGAGTTGGATGGCATAGCGTCGAATTGGTCACAGTAGCGGAGTTGCATTGATTTTTTATCACTCTGTAAATTTGAAAATAATTATCATATGTAACCTTCCATTCCCCCGATAAGATTCGTTCTTGCCAAACCGTACCTTGCAAATTAAAACTGATTATTATATCGCTTTCTATCCTATGCTTCATATTTCGTTGATTACCTTTCGCTGTGCTGATGTATAGTGTCGTAACCTGGACCGATGCGTATGCGTGTCAGGTCCTATCTCGACTACTGACTGATTGACTAACTCTAGTGCTTTAATTAACTATGTTAGCTAAACAATGAATTAATATGCATAAATTTCTCAACGAATGTGAATTAGGTAAACAATGTTGAAAAATTAAGAGCGGTAGGACCACCAACAGACAAATATTGTTGGGTATTATCACAACGGAAAAAAAATTTAAATCAAGTTGAAATGTGGATTCATGACTGTCTATCGACTGATACTACTGATTCAACATTGAATTTAATATTGCTTCACAATATGCAAGATCAAGATTTCAACAAGACAACAGTTACTATGTTTATCAGTAAAGGTTTATGCTATGAGGTTGTTGATATTCAGAACAGAAATCCTGTCAGTCTTCGTTGGCAAGTGGGGATATTAAGCGGACTCTTCGATATTACTTATTTTTTAAATTTTAATTAATTCATTAGTCGAATTTCAGTCCTACGTAACAGTGGGTTAATATAAACCTTACGGAATAAAACTCGTACTCAGTGAACTAGCTAGTGCCTATTTAAACTCAGTTACCTGGTGGACAAAGGCATTACAGTTTAAAGCAACGGCTATCGATTTTGAGTATCCGCGTGAAAATCACCAGGATATAGGATACAGATATATTCACTTAATGAGTCCTAAATAAAGCGATTGAAATCAAAAACTTCAGCAGCACAGTTTTATTGCTCTCAATGAGTTCCCCTCCCCAGCGAAATTTCCGTACATAAACAGTCAGTATACAAGTGTCAGTCAGTCAGTCAGTAACAACGTAGAACTTCGTACGTACGTACATCAGTTCGAGTTACCACACCACATTAGCACAGAGATGCAGTTTTCGATTCAAATCCTGTAGTGGTAGAGGTGGTAAGAGTATAAGCAGTAATCGGAAACATTAGGGTTTGAAGATGTTATTCAAGCAGCATAATCCAGTGAAATAAATTTGGAAAGAGTGAAAAAAGAGACATTAATAATTCAGAAGATTAGAATTTGGGAGAACACAGAGAGTGGATGCACCTGCGCCATTGCAAACGGTTTTGAGCCATGTCATTAAAGGTCTCTAACCATCTGTTTTTATCGCTTCGCGGATCCCAACCAGGTAGTCTACATCTACCAATACGACTCAATTCACTTTGTCAGTAACTTCATGAATTTGTGACATGTTTTGGTCTGGCCGCCCCTAGCTTTCTTCCAACCTACTCCTATACCACTGAACATAGCACGTCGAGGCAGTCAGTGGTTTAGCATACGTAACACGTGTCCCAGCCATCTCAACTGATGAAGTTTTACTACTTCATCAATTGATTTGCCATCCTTACCTAGTACACGTTTCCTAGCAACTGCATTACTTACTCGATGGTCCCATGATATACGAGCAATGTTTCGAAGACACCTATGATCGAATACTAGTAACCTACGGATATCCTCTACTCTTACCGGCCATGTTTCACTGCCATAAAGTAGGACGGAACGAACTGCTGCGCAGTAAACACGTCCTTTGGTTGATAGACGGATATCTCGCCTACGCCATAAATGACGCAAGTTGGCAAAAGCTAGTCGAGCCTTCTGTATCCGTGCTGAGATTTCGTCACACACTAAACCACAAGGGCTGATGAGACTTCCAAGATAAGTGAAGCGGTCGACACACTCAACTACTTCACTCCCTATCACTAGTTCGGGTGTCGATGTAACCCAATCCTGAAGCAACATTTTGCATTTCGAGGGAGAGAATCGCATCCCGAACATGCTTGCATTGTTGCTGAGAGTGGTCAGAAGACTCTGCATTTTGTCAGCGTCTTCACCAAATAAAACTATGTCATCAGCATATTCTAAGTCAACAAGTGAACCTCCTGGTAGAAGTTCAACCCCTGTATATTTAGATGAGGAGAGTGTTATCTCTAAAAGTACGTCAATGACAAAGTTGAACAAGAATGGGGAGAGTGGACAGCCCTGACGAACACCACTTGAGGTAATCAATTCTGATGACAGTTCGCCATAAGCTCTCACTCGACCAGTTGTGTTCGAGTAGAGAGCCTGTATAAGGTTAATGTACTTCTTTGGTACTCCTTTCAGTGACAAACACTGCCATAGAACCTCACGATCAACAGAGTCGAATGCCGCCTTAAGGTCGAGAAATACTACCATTGTGGGGCGTCTGAATGTGTGTCTGTGTTCTAGAACCTGACGTAGTGTGAATATCTGATCTATACAACCACGTCCAGGTCGAAAACCAGCCTGGTTTTCTCTAGTCTGCTCTTCACGAGCTTTGATTAGGCGTCGAAGTATTATTGAGGCTAATATTTTAGACACTATATTAGTCAAACTGATTCCTCTGTGATTGTCACAAGAGGACTTTTGTCCTTTCTTATAGACTGGCACAATCAGTGATTGAGACCAGTCAGATGGGATTACGTCCAGTTCCCAAATTCTACCTAAGACCTCAGTTAATCTCACTGCTAATACTGGACCACCATCCTTAAAAATCTCAGGAGTAAACCTGTCAGGGCCTGCTGCTCTCCCTCGTTTCAGATTTCCTATGGCTTTTTCAACTTCGTAAAGGGACGGAGGACCTACATTAACTTGCCATTCAGGTTGACTAGAGATCGTGGGAAACCGAAGTGTGGCTGAAGGCCAGTTGAACTGATCCCTAAAGTGTTCTGCCCATCGATCCAATCTCCTGGATTGAGAATGTATAATATGTCCATCTTTCTCTGAGATTGTTTCACTAACGGTCGGGTTCCTAATTCCGGTTTCCTTAACGAGTCTGAACAATTGTCTGCTATTACCTATTGCCGCTGCCTTTTCCATCTCTCTTGCTTTCGCTACCCACCACTGTTCGCGATCATTGCGTAGGCTTCTTTTCAGCTTGTGCTTAAGCTGACTCCGCTCTTCATTATGTTCAGAGCCAGGTGGAATGAGTTTCTGAGCATCTATCAGTGCGATAGATGCTGCTGAGATCCAGTGTTGCTCCCTAACCTTGTAGTCAGCGCACACACGACCGTTTACTGGGATCCAGTCTAAGAGAGCTAGTTCTGCCCTAGGACTCAATGCTATATCTACGCCGGCCAGACCACGAGAAGCAGCGTCAAAGCTTCCAGATACATGAAGCTTGAATCGAGTCGGTTCTTTATTTTGGCATGGTGAGGTCAAATGAATGACACTACTCGGATCCTGTATGCGCGTTTCGGAGACGCAGCACACATCGATGGCGCGAGATTCTAAAGTCCTAGCTAAGGAAGCCTGTTTTCCTATTTGGCACAGTGTTCGGACGTTAAAAGCTCCTACGTGTAGTTTAGAGCGTGGTTTCAGGAGACCGGGAATAACGTTCCGCGTACTCGAATCGTTTGCCCTAGCGTTGCGAGGTGATAAAGGGACGTGAGAAGGGTTAATCTTGGAGATAAGAGAGGTATTAAGAGGCGTAAGAAAGATTTGAATGTGACCAACCTGGTCTCGTGTGCTGTTACGGGTATAAGGGCTGATGTCACTTCCCAACTGCCCACACCGTGGAAGGGTATTGCTTGAGAAGCCTACAAAGGAAGTCGGATTAATGATGGCCTTAACGACTTTGGATTGTGACCGCAGAGTCCAAGGTACAACTGCTTGAGGCCTGTCGCACACGGCCTTTTCGTGGGAGGTTTTTAATGTGTTAGCTCCGTTCTTCAAAGGGCCTTACCGCCGGAGACGGAAACCCGTGAGGTAAGGTGAGGTGTGACATTTTTAGGGTCAACCTTTTTTAACCCCTTCCTTCCTTGTGAGAGGCAGCATCGCTGCAGATGCTGATTGTCCGAGGGAAACACCTTACTGTTGTCACAACCCTCTACAGTCAGCAGTACGATTTCTCCCTCAGACCTTTAGTTGTTGCTTTTAGTCTTACCGTTCTTCAGTCGACCTGCCTGGCATGGTAAAACCTACAGGAACATATGTTCCAGCCAATATAGCTCGGTTGGGTCATGATGATAGGCAAGCCCGACCACCGCGTCAAGGTAGCAGCTACGGTCGGGGTATACAAGTGTAGTGATGCAATACTTAATAACTTATTTAGTTTAAGGCATACTCCAGTAGTCCATTCAAATCCATCAACAGATGATTAAACTTGATCAATAAAGACAAAAAAATATCATTAACTTATATATATTCAGTCGTTAATATCTTAAAAGGATACACTTAACTAAATTAAAACTAATCAAAGATTGTACTAAGACAGGATTACAGTCATAGAACACAGACACCAATTGATTCCGCTGTGGTTCTGCATTGATTAATACTATCGGGAATCCCCAACCAACACATGTTTCATGTGCAATTGTTGACTGATTTGACGTAGAGTTGGTAAAATTCTCAATAGACAGGAAGAAGGTAAGAAACGAATTTGAAAAATTGCTTATTATAAGATTCAGCTAGGTTGAGAATTTAACTTTTTGGTTGAAATAATTGGAATGATAAAAATGACTAGAAATCAGTGAGATGGCACAAAACTTTATACAGTTAGATCTAGTTATTCATTCTTAATTTCGCTTTTCAAATAGGAAATTTCACTGTCTCACTTCTATGAACTCATCCCAACCTATTGTCATCCTGTTATTAATGTTTACTTTATGAAGTTACGCTGATAACTTTATTCATTTTAATGACGGTTAACTGATTGTTCCCGAGACTACCGAACAATTTGATAATTTTCGATTTGAAATATGTATTGGTCATACGCTAAGCAATTGCATGGAACCTTATATCTAAGATATTACAAAATCAATTTTAGCGGTGACAAGGCGGTCCAGGTGCTTAACTCTTAATCCACAGGATTTTAGGTCTGGCGTGAACGAAAGACTGGTGCAACTGACACTTTCTAGATAATGAGTAAAAGTGACTATCATGTAGTCAGACCACGTGAGAAGCAAAACCACTTACCCAATTTTTGAAGCCCACACACGATATACACCACCAGTAGGTGGGAGCAAACGCCAATAATCACCATAGTATGGGGTGGAATTAACTAAATGACTTAATCCCTCCACATGTATAGAAGCTCTCCCGACAGGAAGTTTCGTGGATCCATCAAATACGAAACCACGTAAAGCTCGATGAACCTAAATTCAATTTTTACAGAAGACCAATTTTTACTTCGACAGATTTAAGAAGTTATGTAAGGTAAATTAATGAACTGGGATTATCTGGCAAACGTTTTTCTTATTTCTTGCCTTTACTTAGTATGTGCTTGAAAATCATTGTCTATATTTCCATCAAGATTTCTTCATCGGTAATCAGTAAGCATCCTCACAACTTTTCTTCCCACCAGTAACTCTTTATGAGAATATGTCATGTTTATTCATATATATCCTAAGATCAAATACTGGTTAAGCAAGAACCAAGCTATTCTACAGTTTCACTGGTTGAAATCATGAGTCAATTGAAACTAGACCACCATAGAAAATCTGGACGCACTGGACGGCCGTTTCGTCCTGGTATGGGACTCCTCAGCAGTGCGCATCCACGGTCCCACACTCCGCGAGATTCGAACCCAGGGCCTACTGGTTTCGCGCTCGAGCACTTAACCATTAGACCATTGAGCCGGCATCCAACGGTGTTAACGTCTAACTTCAATCAATTCAATTCTACAGTTACAATTTAATTCTAAGATACAAGCTGATTCATTTGCGGGACGACTGGGTATGAGCCCCACTCTAGGTGTGAGGGCTAGATACAATACCTGGTTGATCTAAACGAAGTAGGTGGAGCGGGATTTAAATTTTGGACTTAGTGGCTGAAAGCCAATCGCCCTGACCAACAAGCTGTCCCTCCACTTAATTACAAAGAAAACCATTATTTAAATATTAATAAAGCATTACATGTATTTTGGGACATTGACACCAAGATATTTTAGTTCTCATGACGTGTAAGTACATCAACTATGGCTTTTCATATAACAAATGTTTCTTTATGAACTAAGATCAAAATGCGAAATGAATAGAAAACTAACTTTTAATTAATACAATAATTATAACAAAATATGGAAACTAACTTCAGATAGAAACGCTATAAGGGAATATTTATTGTCATCCCAATAAGTGGATATTTCTGATCCTCGCGGATACTTAACACATCCTAATTCTAATGTGATTTCCATACATCCCGTAACTAGATAATTCCAATCTTGCATACCACCTTGCAGTGGGTACCAGTTATTTCCGTTGGTAATTCCATTCGGAAAAGTCTTAAAATCACATTCAGGTCTACCCAGGTACATGCTCTTGTGAGCCTGCAATTTACACAACATAAAACACAAATTTTTAATGGCGTTTCTTCAATACATCTTTAGAGGAAAAAAGAACCATATATAATCATTTATCCGAAACCGAAGATTACAAAAGAATGTCAGTCAGTCAGTCAGTCAGCTACAACGTAGGACCAGGCACATATATGCATCGGTCCAAGTTGCCATACCTCATTAACACAACAAGATGGACACCGGATTCATAAAAGTAGTTAATTCAGAGGTGGTAATATATAAAAGAAAGATTGCAATAAGGATATAGTACAGGAAGATAGAACTAGTTCGTAGAAAGAAAGATATGAAGCGATTTTAATCTCTTAGTTTAAGGGAAAACAGAGAGTGTATACACCGACGCCATTGTGATCGATTCTGAGCCATGTCACCAAGAGTCTCCAACCATCGGTTACGAAAGTCACGCGGACCCCAACCAAGTAGTCTGCATCTACCAACATGGCTCAGACTAGAGGTTAGTGTCTTCAAGCACTGATGCCACGTTTTGGTTTGGCCGCCCCTAATTCTCTTCCAACCATCTCTAACACCCGTTAGCATTGCACGACGTGGTAATCGGTGTTCAGGCATACGTAACACGTGGCCCAACCATCTCAGTCGATGAAGATTCATAACCTCATCAACTGATTTACCATCATTCCCTAATACCCTGCGTCTAACCTCACTATTACTTACCCGGTGATCCCAGCAGACGCCAGCAATATTTCTAAGGCATCTGTGGTCAAATACTAGTAGCTTACGAGTGTCTTCTACTCTTAATGGCCATGTTTCGCTGCCGTAAATTAAAACAGAACGAACTGCCGCGCAGTATACTCGTCCTTTTATTGATAGACGGATATCTCGCCTTCGCCATAGGTGACGTAAGTTGGCAAAAGCCAAGCGAGCTTTTCGAATCCGTGCTGAGATTTCGTCAGACACCAACCCATTAGGGCTGATCAGACTTCCAAGATAAGTGAAGTTGTCAACGCGTTCGACTACTTCACTCCCTATCCTTAGTTCAGGTGTTGACGCAGACCAGTTCTGAAGCAACAACTTGCATTTAGAGGGAGATAAGCGCATTCCAAACAATCTGGCATTGTTGCTTAGTGCTACCAAAAGACTCTGCATTTTATCGGCATCTTCACCAAACAGGACTATGCCATCTGCGTATTCTAAGTCGATAAGTGGACCTCCTGGAAGGAGATCAATGCCCGAGAATTCAGTAGACGAAAATGTTATTTCCATCAATAGGTCTATAATGAAATTAAACAAAAATGGAGAAAGTGGACAGCCTTGACGGACACCACTTGAGGTTGCAAAAGCAGATGACAGTTCGCCATAAACTCTGACTCGACTGGTAGTGTTCGAGTAAAGAGCTTTCACAAGGTTTATGTACTTCTGAGGTACGCCTTTCAATGACAGACACTGCCACAGAATCTCGCGGTCTACCGAGTCAAATGCTGCTTTTCAGTCAAGAAAGACCACCATTGTCGGACGCCGATAAGTATGCCTATGTTCTAGAACCTGACGAATGGTGAATATGTGGTCGATGCAGCCACGACCAGGTCTGAAGCCAGCTTGATTCTCTCGTGTTTGCAGTTCACGAGTCTTAGTTAGGCGTCCGATAATTATCGAGGCTAGTATTTTAGATACTATATTAGTTAAACTAATCCCTCTATGGTTGTCACAGGATGATTTTAACCCTCTCTTATATATTGGGACAATCAGTGATTGCGACCAGTTGGATAAGAATTACATCCACTTCCCAGATCTTAGCTAAAATATTAGTCAACCTAATCGCTAAAATTGGACCACCATCCTTAAAGACTTCTGGAGCCAATCCATCTGGACCAGCTGCCCTTCCTCGTCTCAGATTAACTATAGCCTTTTGAACTTCAGCGAGAGTTGGGGGACCTACTTCAATGTTCCATTCACGCTGTCTGGAAATAGAGGGTAGTTGTAGAGTAGCTGACGGCCAGCTGAACTGCTCCTTAAAATGTTCCGCCCATCGTTCTAAACGTCTGGACTGGGAGCAGATGAGAGTGTCGTCTTTTTCCGAGATCGTCTCACTTACACTTGACTTATTAATTCCAGTTTCTTTTATTAGTCTGTAGAGCTGTCTTGTGTTACCTATAGCCGCCGCCTTTTCCATCTCTTTTGCTTTCGTTGCCCACCACTGCTCATGGTCGTTCCTTAGACTTTTGGTTAACCTAGATCTGATTTGTTGTCGCTCTTCATTGTGTTCAGGGCCTGATGGGATGAGTTTACGAGAATCCATCAGTGCAATAGACCTTGAGGAAATCCATTGGTTCTTTGTAACCCTGTGGTTTAAATCACTGATAGATGTCACTGCTGTTTACACAGCTGTTTGTATGTCTTTCCAAGCAACATCTGGGTCAACCTCGTTTCCAGAACTACCTAATTGTGACCTCAGTTGGCCCTGAAACCTATTTTTGGTTTTCTCGTTACTCAACTCAGTTCTAATGGGTCTTTTTACTGTGGCTTTTTTGCGTCCAGTGAGGCGCAAGCAGATGCGTGCCCGTATTAGGGCGTGGTCGGAGTCCAAGCAGGTACTCCAGAATGAGCGACAATCTTCTACCGACCCTCTCCAACGATGATTGATGGCAATATGGTCTATTTGAGTCCATCGTTGGTTTGGTGTAGGGGGTCAATATATTAGACGATGTCTCTATTTATGCTTGAAATTTGTGTTTGCTAAAAATAAACGATTGTCTGAGCACAGTTGCAGCAGACGATCATCATTATCTGTTCGTTGTGCCGGAATACTAAAATACCCACCTAAATGCCTTTCTGTTTGGTTTAAACTACCTATCTGGGCATCAAAATCACCTGCTATGAGTACTATGTCTGAACGTTTAGCTTTCTGAAAAAGTTCAGATAGCTTTCTGTAAAATTCATCTTTCACTTCATCTGAGCTGCAGTCGGTGGGAGCGTAGGCAGAAACGACAAAAAGACAACGACGTGTGTCCTTCTCCTTCCGAGTTCTTACGGAGCCGTTTAGCCGAACAGCACATAAACAACTGTCAACGGGGATCCACTCTAACAGTGCTTGTTCCACCCTCATGCTTAGTGCTATCCCTACACCTGCCAGTCCACGAGAGCTGGCCGTCGGGTCACCAAATGCACGGAGGGTGTATCTCGTCGGCTCTCTGTTCTGCCGAGGTGAGGTCAAGTGAATGACCACATTGAGATCCTGTATGCGTGTTTCAGAGACACAGCATACATCAATGGTACGAGATTCTAGGGTTCTAGCCAAGGAAGCCTGTTGACCGATTTGACATAGGGTACGTACGTTGAAAGCTCCAATGTGTAGATTGGAGCGAGGTTTCAGTAGACCTGAGACAGTGTTTTAAGCACTAGAATCGTTGGCTATGGTGACACTTGAGGGGGAAGCCGAAAAAGGAAGCTTAGAGGTGAAAGTCGATGTAGGGGGAATAATAGGAAGTGAAGACGGAGGTTGATTATGAATACAATGGTCTTGAATGCTGTTAGAGGTATGAGGGCGGTTATCACTTCCCGGTTGCCCACACCGTGGAAGGGTTGTTCTGGAGGTACCTGAAAAGGAAATTGGATTAGAGGCGGTCTCAGTGACCTGAGAGCGTGACCGTAGTGCTCAAGGAACAACTGCTTGATGTCGGTCACACACGACCTTTTTATGGGCAATTTTATCGCCGGAGACGGATATCCGTAGGATAAGGTGAGGTGTGCACTTTTAGGGTCGACCTTTTCTAACCCCAACCCTTTCTTGTGGGAAGGCAGCATCGCTGTCATGCTGGTTGTCTGGATGAAACAACTTACTGTTGTCACACATCTGTACAGTCAGCAGTACGACTTAGCCTTCGGACCTTGGGTTTGTTGCTTTTAGTCTTACCGCTCTTCAACCGACTTGTCTGACATGGTAGGACCTTGAGGAACGGTTGTTCCAGCCAGTATAGCTCGGTTGCTTCATCACGATAGACAAGCCCGACCACCACGTCAAGGTAGCAACAACGGTCGGGTTACAAACGAATGACTAATGGATGAAACATACTATGTGAGTATAATATAGTAGCAACGTGCATCATGTAGATACTAATGTCTTACAACTTGTAATTGTTATTCATAATTGGTACAGGGAAATATAAGTTAAATCAGACAACTGAGAAAGATGATCAACAATTATTATTATGAATTGTAAGAGTTTTATTTTCTCCGTGAATAAATGATAATTAAAATTTTAGAAAATCGCTATGCTTTGTCGTGTCATTTATTCATTTAATTTATTAGCAATGTATTAAAATCTGACGAAAATTGAGTGGTTCGAACAACTCGACTCGGAAGTATTTACTTGAAAAAATGGCTTGCTAATCTAAAAATAGTTTGCAAACTGTTAATTACACGTCAACATTCCCGTGATTAACGTTTTATGTCACCCAAAATTACTCTAAACATGGTTAAAATGCAATGGTTTTCTAGACTGTTGAGACACTTCAACAACAATAGTATTATGTTTTGGAGTGTTTTATAACGGGAAAGTTAAAATTCTTATCAAGCGGTGATAAAATACACAACTGTGAGAAGTGTAGACAGCCTTTGTGTTTTATTCATGATTTACCGTGGGTTCCACAATCAGTGCTCTGCTTAAGGTGAAATGACATAGAAATTAGCTAAGCTAACTTATAGTTCAATAAAACTTATCTTAAAACTATGATAATGATAAATTACTTGGATCCACTGAACGGACTAGAAAGATTTAAACCGAAGAAACTATACTGATACTTATAACTACATGTCATCCCACTTGCTTATAAATAACCAAAATAGATGCGGACCATCAGGCTATTTTTTGATAGTGTTCGAAATCAAATATATTTTGCAGTTTAAACTCGCGAACGGCCAGTATGGGCTGTCTAAACTGTTGTAAAGCATCTATACTACATATTCAAGTGATACTATATCAGTAAGAAATCACAACTTACACGACTATACACTGAAGCCAAGTGTTTGAATGTTGCATCATCAGGAGATGCAGAATAATAGGCAGTCATATTTGCACTACCGTCAAATGGATATGATGCAACCAGTGCTCCAGCATGTAAATTACCTGATAAAACAAATGAATGCTCCTGTGACCATTGCATTATTAATTTGGTTTCTGGTTCCTAAAATTGAAAATAATAGTTTCAAACAAGTCAATACTGTTCATACTTGTACTAAGTTTTCGTCAGTTTCGCCAAACTGGTCCGGGAAATTACGATTCAGATCCACATTATGGAGATTGTTTCGTCCAATAAGGCCACTTGTGTCACCTGTAGATGGATGAAATCATTAGAATTTATCAAGTACTAAACAGAAAATTGAACTATTTGAAAATTTATTATGTAGAACTGTTTAACTTTCAGAAGTGTGTAACAGAATAATTTGAAATTTAATTGAAGTATAATGAAATACAGTAGGAGTCAACTTGCCATACATATTCTATTGCTTAAAATTAACTATTTTATTTAGGTTTCTAAATTCCCAAACTGAAGCTTTTTGAAGTGCGCTGAATCAACCACAAATTCCAGAGCAGAGAAACTCAGCATAGTTGATAATATACTCGTAAAGGAAGAACCTAGGTAGAAAATAAACTGTCTAGTTGTGAAAGTAGTGCTTCCAACAAGACTGAAACAACTTTCTGATGCTTGTATAGTTCCTCAGGTTATTTGGCGATGGGGAATTTAAGTGAAGGGTTACAGGCAATAAAAGTGAGAATACGGAAAACAGAGTTAGATTTATTCATAACAACAAATCGATCAAGATCGAAAAAGCGACTTCAAGACCATGGTTTATCTATTGAGCTAGGGTCATTATTTTTAGCCCCCTGAATGCCCTGGTACGGCCGAGAGTGGGGAGAGTCCGCTCTCCCTCTCGAAATACTCTCACACGGCCACGCGTATACAGCCTCTGCCAGGGAAGTCCTACTCATTGCCTTTTCGTGGCGGGGGTGTTGTTTACGAAAATGAGAGGACGAAAAGCGAATGTCCGGCGCTTTAACCGGATTCCAAATCAATGGTGCACATGGGCTCCAGTATCCTGCGGGAACGAATGGCGTATGAACCAATCGTTGGTCACCGGCTACCATGGGACTGCATCTCCTTACGATGCTCCACTGCCTTGTGGGTTAGACCTTTAGGTCAAAGGCTCGGGGAGTGGCCCCCTAAGATAACCACCTGCTTCGGTTTGGGCACCCGGGCAGTATCACAGCCCACACACAAATGATGAACGCTTTATGTCTATGGAAATTACTTTTGTCGCTTTGAAAAACAAACAATTGATTCAGATTATTATCATTACAATTATTGTCATTATTAATACTAATATTATTATTACTACTATTATTGTCATTATTGTTATTATTATCATTATTATTATTATTTTCCACATTATTCACCCTCTTTTATACTTATACAGCGGCTCGTCTTTGGTGGAATTCCGACTGTATCTAAACGTTCTCGAGTCACTGTCCGGTTGAAAATTGTATGTTACCACCGAATACGAGGACTGAAGCAGATTTTCTGAAACCACGTGCACCATTCAAACTGGCTGCCTTCAACGTTCGCACATTTATGCAGGTCGGACAACAGATAGGGCTGGCTATGTCTTTGGAAAGTCTTAATATCGACGTGTGTTGTCTATCCGAGACCCGTATTCAAGACTCTGGCGAAGTACTACAAATTCGATCTCCATCTGTCGCTTCGAAAAGCTTGTTTTACGTGCGCTTATCCGGGGACCCTGTGGCATCTTCGTCTGGTCTTGCTGGCGTTGGTGTCGCACTAAGCGCTAGAGCTGAGGCAGCACTAGTCGATTGGATCCCCATTAACAGTCGGTTATGTGCTGTTAGATTAGAAAGTTCCATCAAAGTGAGAAGAAATCGGTGTGAGAAACGATGTCTTTTCGTCATCTCCGCCTATGCCCCGACAGATTGCAGCCCGGATGCAATCAAGGATGAGTTTTACCACCAGTTATCAGTTCTTCTCCAGAAAGTGCGTTCGACAGATATTGTAGTACTAGCCGGAGACTTGAATGCTCAGGTCAGGTTTCTAGGCACAGGAGAGAGTGGCCGATGGGGACTCGTTGGTAGCAAGTCAGATAACGGAGACCGTTTACTGCAACTGTGCACAGACCACGGCCTGTTTCTGACTAGCACTAACGTTTGGCCTAGTCATCACTGATGTGCCACCTGATGTCTTTCCTCTGCGTCTCAGACCTCGACTCAGACTGATTACATCGCGAACGGCTACCGCTGATGTGGTTGTGTACAAGACTGCCACTGCTTTTGAAGTACCTATCTGGACTCTGACCATGCCTTGGTCTGCGCCAATCTTGCCTTACTTTTCAGTGGACAACGAAGTGACCGCCATCAACGGATTGATGTTAGCAAGCTGGTTGCAACTTCTGTTGCAAGTAAGTATCAACCCGAGCTAGCCTCTAGGCTAGCTACCACTCCACCGAAAAGTATAGATGAGCGTTGGTTGCAATTGCATAACGCCATGAAAATGGCGGGTACAGTCAGTTGTGGGTTCGCGAAACGTCCCGCTTTTAAGCACTGGGTTTCTGCAGGTTCCTTACAACTCATTGAAGCCCGTCGGTCTATTCCGAGTGACCGTGAGTTTGACCACAAACGAAGGATGTTACGTAAGGAAATCGGGCAAAGCTTGCGTAAGGACCGAGAAGCCTGGTGGTCGATGCGTGCTAATGAGCTGGAAGCAGCAGCTGCATCTGGTAACTACCGGAAGCTCTTCCAACTCATCCGAGCCACTGGCAGCAAGAAGTCTGGTGTGAGCGAAACAATCTGCAATGATGAAGGGATGCCAATCACTAACATCCATCGACGTCTTGGACGATGGGCAGAACTTTTTGAAGGGCAGTTCAACTGGTCTGCCGCTCCGGCAACATCGGTCAGACTGTCCTGCCCTCCATGGCCGATGACGACTGGTCCACCAAATGAGGCGGAAGTCCGCAAGGAACTCCAACTCTTGAAGCGCTACAAATCACCTGGCCCAGATGACTTACCTCCGGCTCTTTTTAAAGATGGTGGTGACTTTTTGACTAAGGAATTGACGACGTTGTTTACAAAGGTTTGGGAACTAGAGAGTGTACCAACGTCATGGAATGAGTCGATAGTTGTCCCTATCTTTAAAAAGGGTTCACGTCGTTCTTGTAACAACTATCGGGGGATAAGTTTACTTCCGATTGCGTCCAAGCTATTGGCTTCCGTCATTCTTCGTAGGTTGTTCAAAACCCGAGAAAGATTGACTCGCGAGGAGCAGGCTGGGTTTCGTTCTGGTCGAGGATGTATTGATCATATCTTCACCCTCCACCAAATGTTAGAACACCGCCATACTTTTCAAAGGCCAACAATCGTAGTGTTTCTTGACATCAGGGCTGCCTTCGATTCGTTGGATAGGACTGTTCTCTGGGATTGTCTATTGAAGAAGGGTGTGCCTGAGAAGTTTATCAACATCCTAAAAGCCCTGTATAAAAACACCTCAGGCAGAGTGAGGGCATACAACCACCTCTCTCCATTGTTCCATTCGAGCAGTGGGGTTAGGCAGGGTTGCCCAATCTCACCATTCCTCTTCAACTTTGCCATCGATGACATTCTGGAAACAGCTCTGATGAATGTAAGTAATGGTGGTGTGGATCTGTTGCCTGGAGAAAGACTTCTCGACCTTGAGTATGCGGACGATATTGTCTTACTGTGCGATAATGCCCAAGGCATGCAATCCGCACTTAATCAGTTGGCAATCAATGTCCGTAGGTATGGTATGTGCTTTGCACCTTCGAAGTGCAAAGTACTTCTACAAGACTGGCAGGATTCTAATCCTGTACTCACCCTGAACGGTGAGCAGATAGACGTAGTTGAGAAGTTCGTGTATCTGGGTAGCTGCATAAGTGCTGGTGGGAGTGTGAGTGATGAGATCAATGCACGAATAGTGAAAGCCAGAGCGGCTTATGCCGATCTGGGCCACCTTTGGCGCCTTCGTGATGTTAGTCTGGCTGTAAAAGGTCGGATCTACAACGCGTCGGTGAGAGCAGTTTTGCTCTATGTTTGTGAAACCTGGCCTCTCCGAGTTGAGGACGTTAGACGACTCTCTGTGTTCGATCATCGCTGTCTCCGAAGGATTGCTGACATTCAGTGGCAACACCATGTCAGTAATGCAGAGGTTCGGCATCGTGTGTTCGGGCACAGAGATGATAACTCAATTGGTGTCACCATCTTGAAACACCGACTTCGGTGGCTTGGACATGTTCTCCGAATGTCGTCCCAGAGAATTCCACGTCGTGCATTATTTGCCGACTCTGGGACTGGTTGGAAGAAGCGGAGAGGTGGTCAGTGCATGACATGGTGTCGTGGCATGAAAGAAAGCTGCAAAGGACTGGCTTGTGTTGGTCCTTCACGACTCCCTGGCTAGGGTCCGAGAGATGGTGCTACACAGTGGCTAGAGATGTTATCAGATATGGCTGAGAATAGAAGCCAGTGGCGATCCTGCTGTAACCTTCTTTTACTTTCTTCATAAAAGGTGGTTGTGTCTCCCTTACCTCAAAGATTACTTCTGCTTGTACCTCTTCGTCATTACTATCTTTTTCTTTTGCGTTTCCTAGTTTTTTTTCTTTTTTTTTCTTTCTACTTCTCTTCGAATTCCCATTGTTTTGTGTGGCGCATATATATTGGCGCTCTCTTGTACCAATATTTATGTGTTCAAATAAATAAATAAATTATTTTTAACTTCGTTAAGAAACGTTCAACTTTTAAGGAAATCATCTATAAATGTGTGTGAAATAGTTATAGGGAAATACAAAGGTGTACGACATCAAGCTACATGTACTGTGATACATATTAGTAACAGAAAGTGATTAGAAGAGTTTTTTCGTTTAAAGCAAAAAATCCAAAAAGGGATTGACGAGAAACTTATTAGTAATATTAACAGAGGTATGCTCATTGATTAACTCGATTTGTATCAGAAAACATTACCCCTTAAAACCTGTTTTTTATTACCTTTAAGTAGAAGTTTTCTTAAGATAACTCCTTTAGTGACATGAGGCTGAGCAATAATTAATAGAGTACCTAAAAAGTGAACAATTTATTAAGACTGAAATATGGGTCATAAGCCTGGTAAATGTGCAAATTAGTCACGTCTAATCTATATCCCACAAAGGATACATAGTAGGCGTGAGAACTAAAAACCATCACCTGTGTGCATCAAGGAAAGTTAATCATCGGTATTACCGAAGTTTAGAATCACCGTCAGTCCTCATCACGACTATAATTTTAAAACACCGCGGTGCGAGAACATACCAACCTACCTTCATTTGAAATTTCAAAACCATCAGGATTAGCTGAAGGCATAAGATGGATTTGTGTGTAGTTTACCAAAAGTGTGATAAATTCATCAGAACCATAATTTATACACAGAAGGTATGCAAGGCGTAGTATAAGTTCTCTCCCAATCGCTTCGTTTCCATGCATATTACCCACGATCTTTACTTCTGGTACCCCAGGTACATGGTAATTCGGCACTTTTCCGAAGGATAATACCCACAATTCTCTACCAGCAACAGATTTGCCAATGGTATATAATGTGGTTATCATGGGACATTTTCTACTGACTTCCTGCATCTTTCCAAAAAGCGAATCATAGTGATTGTAACTACAAACAAATCAGATTACATGTAACTCACCTATTTCCAAGAGGAGCTTCGAGAAGATCCCAATATTTATGTTCTGTGGATACAGTAAACGGTTCAATCAGGCTTAAAATTTTATTAGAAATATTAGCAGTGTAATAGGATTCCGTAAAAGTGGCCCATGTCACACTTACTGATTACAAAAACGTCAACGAATGAACTTACATTAAAAAGTTGACGGCATAAATTAACGTAGCACCCATTGACCTTGACAAGGCGTACAGCCAAATGAGCCGGTGGTGTTAGCCAAAATTCAATGTCTTTTCATGTTTGAACCACAACAGCCGGCAGGGACGTTCAAGACTTGACAAATCGCCGCAAGTAGAAGGTAAGGTTACCGTTCAGATTGCTGTTTCGTATCTCTAATTTTGATACATCATTCCTATGGTTCTTTTTGGAACTTAAGCCAGATAAGAGGTCCAAACCAAATGTATTAGTGTTTGAGATGCAATACGTCACCATGAGGTCGCCCCTCAGCCTAAAAGTTTAACCTCTGGTTAATGAAAGCATCACTCGTAAGGCTTAGATTTTAGTGGACGAAATGATTTTTTACCAGCTTTGGGACACACTCCAGAGTATCCTTGTCCTCTTAGAATGGAGGAGACAATATTATCACACTTCAAATGGGGTCAAATAAAATCATTCAGCATTGAATGTGGAGTCCTACCGTCAGGATTTCTGGAGTATTTTTTAAAAGTTACCGCTGTAAGGTATTTTTGTTGTAGTTAGCATAGGTCTTCAGACCATAGGATATTAAGATTTCTTGATCTTTTTAACTTGTAAATTGTCCGTAAAGGACTTAACCAAGTTTCATGTGTAGTTTAGAGCGTGTGTTGAATGGACTGTTTTGCAACTTGAAGTTTTGAAAGTAAGTTCAGCGTTATAGCCCAAACCTTGGAGTTACCTCAGGCCCTCATTAAGTGCCAGGCTGAAGTCCTTCCTGTAAACTTCTCTTCAAAGCTTAAGACAATCACAGAAAAGAAATGTCTCAGGATTTATCAGCTGAGGAGAGTCATTGACTTAAATTGGTCGGAAGAGGCAGCAGAACTGAATATTATGTGGCCCCATAACGACTCTATAATTTGTGAAAATCAATGATTTACATTGACCTAACAGAGGCTAATAGCATGTCACTTTGAGCTTATCGACAGGATGGTCAACTGTATCTAAAGCTCATAAGACGTCGAGACATAATATGTCCACCTTCCCTGTATGATCAAGGATAGTGACACATATATTATACGATCTGCAGCTACATTATCTAGGGGATGATCCTTCCTGAAATTGTGCTGTTGGAGTGAAAGTCACTGAATACTAAATAGCTTCTAATCTGCCTAAGACTAGAGAGTCACTGACTTGCGCTGCAACAGACCAGTACTTAGGTTCACTTACGAGAGTCCAACCACTGAGATTCAAGATTATAGGAATAGGTGGGCGGAACACTTTGAGTAGACCAGCCCCACTGAACTTGTAGAATTATGGTCTACTATGATATTAGTAGTGCTCTAATAATAGACCTAATCCTAAATTTGTAGATTTGTCATGATATAACTGCCTAATCTATAAGATCTTACGTGGAAGTCACACCATCGACTACACCAACTCACTGTATCGTATCAATTACCAATACATGATGTAGAACAAGGTTAGGCTAGAGAAAGAACAATATATTTAATATGAATAGAAGATATAAGGTAACATTCCGCAGAGACCACGCCTGCATGGCCGAGCCATGCCACTCGATCAACTCAATCCCCGCTTCTCCATTGGGTATTTCTCCGCGTTAAATATTGAATATCTATTTTCTGAGTAGTCTCGTGTTCACAGCTTTGTGGATTGTGTGGTATTGTCCAATGCCACTACACATCACGGCAACACACTCAGGCCTCCTCATAGATGTTACTCCATCAACGATAAAATATGTTAGCGTTATCATCGTTATGTCAACTGGGCCTGTTAATATGTCAGGTGACTGAATTGCCAATAGAATACAGATTTATATGACCGTGGCACTGTACCAAAGTCACGATCTTCAATACCAGCGCCAATGCAGTTCTACTGTATGGAGCTGAAACTTCACCAAAAAGGTACAAGTATTTATAAGCAATTGTCTACGCAAGATACTAATGTCCGTTGATTGTAAACCATCAGCAACATTCTGTTACGGAAGAGAGCAAACCAGATTCCAACTGAAGAGGAGATTATGAAAAGACGTTCGAAGTGGATAGGACATACATTACGAAACTAATCAAACTGCATCAAGAGGCAAGGGCTTACTTGGAATCCTGAAGAGAAGTGGAAAAGAGGAAGGTGGGAGAACACATTACGTCGGGAAATAAAATCAGATATGAAAAGGATGAATAACAACTAGAAAGAACCGGAAAGGATTGTCCAGGACAGATTTGAGTGGGAGTGCTGGTGGGCGGTCCGTTTGGTCCTTACCAGAGAGTTTCGTTGGTGTGGGTTAAAGGCTACGGTCGGAACCTTTGAAAGCACTGTTTTCTCACAAAGTCTACAATTTTACTGTCCTCGTTGTTTAGACAATTAGGACGTATCATCTGAGAAACTCTGGTTTTAACTTATCGAAGTGGGACCGGATAATAGAATTAGCTTTATATATTGGAGACAGATCTGTCGACTGGCTTAATTTGCTACTAGTATCTGCTTTTTTATGAGTGCCGTCGTACACAGTTTCTTGCGTTGTATGAACTTCCTATGCATGTTTTCTTTTCTGGTTCGTTTGGATTTCATCCAGAACAATATTTTGAGTTTTATCATTCCGCAGGTACAAGCCCTTATGATATTAGGTACCTGTAAATTTCAGATCTGACACAGAAGCCACATCACTGTCTATACTGACTCGTCCTACATGATGGTCAGTAGTGAGATTTTTATGAGCCCATGAAGAAAGCATTCAGGGTGAGGATAGAATAATATTTTGAATATGCAAGACATCAGGTGTCAGAGAGTGACCACGTCTGCTTGACAAAAACGTGATGTTTCGATTTACTGTTCCCATATCCATCTTTTCTAACCTCAGACTGTGCAGTTGCTCATGTAAGTTTACTCAGTCACTGTTTATTTCATCTTCCAGAATCATGTTGTTAGAAACCACTACTGCTAAATTACTCTCCCATCATAAGAAACTTGAGGTTGACATGATTCCAAAGCATATGGGATAACCCCACGCAAGATGTCACTAATAAATCTCTGAGAATCCTCCTGGAATCAATAGACTAAGAAATAAACCAAAAATAAGGAGGTGGCAACTGACCGGGAAATATATGTACTGGTTCTGAAATGTTTTGTTCAATTCTTAACCAGCACATAGTTTGAACTTACGTACAGACTATTCGACTTTTAAGAATTGGAATTGTGATGTCGAAGAATGATTTATTAAATATTTAATCTAATAATTCACATCGAGAGGTAGAGCAGTAACTTGTGGTCAACAGTTTTACTTATGAACAGCACCTGTATTTTATTCTCAAATTAATCATATTCAAATAGAAAAAGTCAATTTGCTAGGAATGTTGATATTATGACTTCATTTGATTTAATTCATAAACCCAAGGGATGGTAATGCTAGTATATCTTCCGCTTACATGGATTTCCAAATACGTCTTCACTAGTGGACGAACCAAAGGAACTTAAATGTGATTACGGGGGAAAAAATTCTCACTAAGCATCCGGCAAGTTTGTGAAGTTCGTGTTGGACCAATTATATCAATTCCAAAACAATTAAAAATTTACTGCAAAAAAGTTACTTACTTACTTACTTACGCCTGTTACTCCCAATGGAGCATAGGCCACCGACCAGCATTCTCCAACCCACTCTGTCCTGGGCCTTCTTTTCTAGTTCCATCCAAATCTTGTTCATTTTTCTCATGTCTATCTCCATTTCTCGGCGTAATGTGTTCTTTGGTCTTCCTCTTTTCCTTTGACCTTCAGGATTCCATGTGAGGGCTTGTCTTGTGACGCAGTTGGGTGCTTTCCTCAATGTGTGTCCTATCCACTTCCAGCGCTTCTTCCTGATTTCTTCCTCCACTGGGATCTGGTTTGTTCTCTCCCACAGTACGTTGTTGCTAATAGTGTCTGGCCAATGGATCTGAAGTATTTTGCGTAGACAATTGTTGATAAACACCTGTATTTTCTGGATGATGGCTTTTGTAGTTCTCCAGGTTTCTGCCCCATAGAGTAGAACTGTCTTGACATTTGTATTGAAAATCCTGACCTTGGTGTTGGTTGACAGTTGCTTTGAGTTCCAGATGTTCCTTAGTTGTAAATATGCTGTTCTTGCTTTGCCGATCCGCGCCCTCACATCTGCATCAAATCCACCCTGTTCATCAATGATGCTGCCCAAATACGTAAAGGTTTTTACATCTTCCAAATCTTCTCCGTCAATTGATTGGATTGGTGCATTCTGTGTCGTGTATATTGAGACCTATTGCTGCTGAGGCTGCTGCCACACTGTTTGTCTTCTCCTGCATCTGTTGTTGCGTTTGGGATAGAAGGGCCAGATCGTCTGCGAAGTCTAGATCATCCAACTGCATCTTAGATGTCCATTGTATCCCGCGTTTCCTTTCAGACGTTGACGTCTTCATGATCCAGTCGATCACCAGGAGAAGTAGTGACAACTAATGGTATATCAAAATATAAGTCAAGCACAAAGGAAAGCATGGGACGTTACATGAAATGTTAGAGGAAAACGTGTCTGAGCTCGTTTTAGTTCTCGCAATCCATAGTTATAAGTAACGCCGATCCTAAATATGATTGATATAATCCAAGGTGTGTTTCCAGAATAATATTGCAATGAGGATGTTCGTGTTATCTACAAACGTAGATAGACAATATATTAGAGTTCTGTTATTGCGACAACTGATATGGGAGAACAAGAAGTTTGTTTGTTCAGTAGTGTACTTGAAAGCGCTAATGGGTGTGTCATACCACTAGAGTACAAAACGGGGACGAAAGGTCAAAGTCAAACTTTTAAAATAACAATTTTACAGTCAGTGATCGTACAACTTATGCTGACAATGACAAAAACTAATTAAAAATCGAATTCACGTTAACCGTGCCCCCAACTCTAATACTGCTCATTTATTTACGGAAAGAATTGCTCGATCTCATCACTGCTTAGCCGTGACAGGATTTAGTGTTGCTTCCAATACATATACAGCGATGTCGAAATGTATGTTGTTACGTATTTCAGATAAGACTGGAAGCAAATATTTT